GCGCCGCTGCCGCCGCCGCCGCCGCCGCCGGGGCCCGTGGAGGCCGCGCCGCGCGGCGCCGCCCGTGACCCCTTCGCCGACCGGGGTTCGGGCGCTCCTTGAGCTTGAGCACCAGCTGCGTGAGGGCCCGGCGAGGCGCGCTCGGGGCTCCGCCCGCCCTCGGCCTCAGGCCTGCGCGGCGGCCCCTTGGCCGTGGAGGCGGCAGGGGCGTCGCGGCGCCGCTGCTCGGCGCTGAAGCGCTCCTGCGCGCTGGTCAGGTAGTAGCCGATCATCTCCTCGTGGAACTAGTGCCGGTGGCTGGTGAGCAGCAGGCCGGCTCAGATGAACTTGCGCTCGCCCTGCATGGCGGCGCGCAGGATGTGGAGGCTCAGCTTCACGTCCGTGCTGTACTTCCGGGCATCGCCGCGGGGCCCGCCGCCCTTGTCGGCTGGCGACGCGCCTGCTGCTTTGCCCGTGGGCGACGGCGTGGTCTTCTCCGAAGGCGACGTGCTGGCCGAGGCTCCCGACTCCTCCTCGCTGCCCTTGCGCGCGCCTTGGCCTTCTCCTTGCCGCGCTCGGGCGCGTCGCCGTGATTGCCGTTGGCTGACTTGGAGTGGCTCATCGGGCCGTGCACCAGGCCGCCCATGTTCTTCTTCAGCTGGATGCCCACGGAGTCCGCGCGGGTCTTGTCCTTGTCCTTGCGCTGCTTCTCCTTCGCTTTGTCCTTGCCGTTCTTGCTGTTGGAGTTGCTGCACAGCGAGTCGCGGTCCGAGTCCAGCGAGTCGGTCAGGGACTGCACGTCCTCCCCCGCCGAGGCCGTCGGGGACTCCGGCTGCGCCAGAGGGGCCAGCGAGGGAGAGGGAGGGCAGGGAAGGGAGGAGGTTAGAGCTGTCCGCACGCGGCAGATGGAGGCAGACCCTGCTTCCGCAGTGTGGCCTCCGGCCTCACGGTCCCCGGCCCCAGCTGTGGCCCAGCCTGAGAGTCTCCTGATTCTCGAGCTAGAGTTGTTGCCTTCGGAGCCCTCGTGGAGGCTAGAAAAGAACACCCACAGCCAAGTTATGACATATGCCACGCAGCTGGACTCTGGAGCCATCAGTAACATAGGGTATCGGGACCTGCCTCAGGGAGCCCTGTGAAGATTAAATACACGTAAAGGCTGAAGTACGAAAGCACCCTGAGCAGTGCCAGCTTGTCCTGGGTACTGACTGTGTGCCGGGCACTGCCCTCCTTGCTTTCCTCGTGTCACTTAAAAAAATATTCGTTACGAGCCCCAGTTTATGGTTAAATAAACTGACGTCTGGGGAGGACCAATTATTTGTAAGTTTGGTTTTTTTTTAAGCAAATCCCTTTTCCTGGGACTTTACTACTGAGATCACAAAAAAACCAGTCCGATACTTAGAACGAATCCCTCTTAGCATCTGGAGGCAGGGCCAGCATGGGTCCTCCCCGGGGGAGGGGGCCAAGTGGGGCACCAGCCCCTTTCTCACAGCCCTCCCTTCCTGGAGGGGAGAGAAGGAGAAGAGAAGGAGGGGGTGCCGAGGAGTCACACCCTCGGTTCCCTGCCTTTTCCAAGGACCCACACACACTTTTATAATTAATTCCGCTCCGTGGCAGCACATCGTGTTCCGATCTCGGCAGAGAGAGTTTTGTGTTGTGACTTGCCTACGGTTTGTTTTCTGAGTGGGCGGGGTTTATTCCTCTCCTTCCCAAGAAAATAAGGGAAGAAAAACTCCCCTAGCCGGAGCGCGCGCCTACGTCCAGACTCGTAGGCACACGCGCACACAGGCCCGCGTTCCAGCCGGAGCCGGGGCGGCGGGGACCGCGGGCGGCGAGGACCGAGGGCGGGGCGGCCCCCGTGGGGGAGGATGCACCCCGCCTGCCCGCCCCGAGCCGAGTGCGCCTGCCGGTCCGTCCTGGCGCGCTCCAGGCTCACCCGGGTCTCGGAGGGGATCCGGATTCACGTCACATTCATGTAGCTGTGCAGAAGGTTCAGCTTGGCTTCTAGCGACAGGATCAGGCTAGAGAGAGAGGAACACAGAGTGAGACGCGCCCCAGCTCGCCCGCGCGCACCCCGCCCGCCGGCGGCCGTCCTCGAGGAGCAGGGGCGCACGGCGCCCAGCCCCTTCCCGGGAAGCACGGGGACAGCCCGCCCCATAGGGCGTTGGGGGAGGGGGCACAGGGTAGGGTCTTATTGGGCCAGCCGGGCCCAATAAGTTATCGTTGTCGTCTTTCCGCCACTCCCAGCCCTTCCCTGGCGTCCACCGCAAAGTGCAGAGGCAGCAGCTTGTGCTCCGATTCCTTCAGGGGGATCACGGCTGGGACGCAAAAGAGAGAGAGGCCCGTGCCAGGTGGCCCAAGGCGCGATGGGAGGCTCAAAGACCCCGCGACCCCCAGGGAGGACAGGAAAGGGCCCCTGAGACCAGGTGTCTCCGTGATTAAGGAAACCAAATGGGGGTGTACACAGGACATCTATGCCAGTAGGAGCGTTAAGGCCAGAGGTTTCAAAACCACCACTAATAGTTTTTTAAAATTCCTCTTTATTGTGGAGCCTGAAGAGCAGTTGGAGACATGACCTGGCCTCGACATGGGTCAAAAGGCAGGTGCCCTCCTTGGGCAGCAGACAAAACAAAGCTATTACTACTTCTGCCATTTCTGAGGAAGGATCCAGGCCAGACAGCACAGGGAGCAAGGTCACCTGGGAGGGGGCTTGGGTCCAGACCCACCCATCTCCTCCCAGAGGAGGGGAGCGAGGGCTGCCGGCCCATCTGCTCTTTCGGGAGTTCATGCAGCAATTCTGTGTCGGTGTGGGACCCAGGGACCCCGTCGCCCTTGCCACAGAGAGCTCACATCCTGGACCGGACCAGGGACAGGATAAACAGGTGACATACAGCTCATGCCGTCAGGCGGTAATAGCACCCTGAGGGTGAACAAGCAGGAGCCTGGCAAACCTTTCTGGGGTGGCCCAGTGAGCCTTCCGGGGAGGGAACGTGCAGGTAGACAAGGCGGTGAGGAGAGATGGGCCCCTCACTGCACAGAGGGGTGGACTCGTCAGAGTACCGCCCCTGCTCCGGGGAAGCCGGGACCACCTCAGAAAGGCTGAGGCCGAGGCGGGTGTTTACAGGTTTGTCTGGGATCTGCCGGGAGCTTCCGGGCCTGCTGGGATCAGCTCCCTGGTGACGTTGTTGATGTCAGAGGCAGAGAATGGGGAGACGGTTACCCCCCCCATTTCTGCCCTCGGAGCAGCAGCCGCATGGGGGCTGCACTAAGCACCCCTGCAGGCCCCACCTGAGGGTCAGGTCCCAGCAGAGCAGCACAGCCTGGGGCTCGGCCAGGCCGGCAGCTTGGTTGCTGGAGCCTGGCTTCCTGCCTCCGTGCCAGTGGCTGGTGGAGGGAGAATCGGGTGCTTCTGTGAGTGCTGCTGGGGATGGTACGTGCCGGTGCAGGGCCTGGGGAGTCTTCACTCAGACCCTTCTGGGGCCTCCAGCAGGGGCTCTCGCCTCTGCTGTCCCACCGGCTTAGGAGGGAGGTGTGGCCAGGCCCCCTTCTAGATGGGGAGGTAGGTTAGGAGCTGACAGCTCCTGGGTGGGCGCCTCCCTGTTTCAGGCCTATCCTTGACCCTGGAGTGCCTCTCTACTGTCCTGATTGAGCACGTGGGGCCTCCCACACGCTGTTTTCCTTTAGCACCAAGAGCCCCATCTTTGGGGACAGTGAGCCCCCAGGCACCACTCCAGGATGCAGGGGGCCTTGCTCCTGCCCAAGGTTTACCTGACCTCTTCCTCACTCCTCCCCCGCCCCCACCTCCCAGGTGCTGGCCGTGAGGCTGGTGTCACTTCCCCATATTCATGGTAGGGGTGCCATGGCAAAAACAGAAAGGCAAATCAATAAATAATAAATACATAAAATCTAAGGTTGAATACCATTAATAGTTGATTTTCTAATAAGAAATCGGAAACATTGACTCAGTGCTGCCCTCCAGTGTTGCTAAAGAGACACAAATAATCCTCTTCCTCCACCCCTGCTTCCCCAACCCCCCCCCATACAAGGGAAATACAGCTTTGCTCGGGATTTTCCCTTTCATCTGGATGGGGCTGGGCGGCACTGTGCTCTGGTTTGAGAGGTCAGGGGCAGCTTGGTCTGCCTTGGCTTGCTCAGTCCTGCCTTTGTGTGGCTCTGACACACAGGCCACCCCTCCCAGGGCTGGAGAGCTGCAGGATAGCTCAGGACCAGCCTCCCGTGGGCCATACCCAGGAGCTAGTCCCATAGTTCCAAGAGTCACCACGACAACAGAGAGGGGGTGGTCCGGCTTCCCACCCATGGGTGGGGACAGGGGGTAGAGGCTCCCTCTGTAGACAGGGCTTGGTAAAGGTGCTCACCCCAGGCCCCCAGGCACATGGCCAAACCAGAGTAACCAGGAAACGGACCCAAGGACTCTATTTTAAATAAGCATCCTCCGTGGGTCTTAAAATCAAGCAAATCTGGGAAACATTGTTCTAGAATAATAATCTGTTAGGGCCAGTTTCTGTGGGTGTAGTGTGGGTGATTTGGGGTCTGGCTCTCCACCTTCCCAGGGGACAGAGGCCTTGGGGGCATCTGCCCAGGCCGGCTACATTTCCCAGTCCCCACCCTAGCGTTAGGAAGGAACACGTGCTGACTTGCGCCCGTGGGGCATGCGAGGAAGCCCTGGGCGAAGTGGTTAGGCGTGGGTGGCCCTTCTCCCCTACACCCCTTCCCGGCGAGGTGGTTTCTGATCACGGTGGCCCTGGAAGGCATCAGGAGTGGGCTCCCGACTCCCCACTTGGAGGGGGCCTGCCTGTATTAGGAACACCCGTTTTAGACTTTATTTGCAGGAGAACCAAACTTCTATCACATGAAGCCACTGTGATTTTTGTCTATTTGTTTCAGATAAACCAGCTCAAGTAGTACAGCTGTACAGCCCCCCTCAGCCTCCCTACCAAAGAGCTGCTGGGAATTCCTACACTCAGTAGCTGGGCTGGAACGGACTTCCTGGGCTCCCCACCTTGACCCCGCACCCCAATACACAAAGCCGAAGGCTGGAATCACCTGAAGGTGCTAGAGCCTGACCACGCAGCAGGCTCCTGGCAGCCTCTCAGCCTGGATGTCGGAAGGCATCTTGTATGCAGAGGGCACAGTTGTGGCCCGCTGGTCAGGGTTGAGGCTGCAGGGCCCAGGAGCCCCACCTGTAGCTGTACAGCCTAGGGCGGCCTCGAGAACAGGCGCTCTGTGAGCCTCAGGTACTTCCCATGCTTCTGCCTGTCACTTTACACACTTACTTTTCCCTGTTGAAAACCTGGCCTCACCCGGTGAGAGGGGGAGTGATGCGGCGACTCGCCCTCTGGTGGCAAATGTCTGGAACAGCAAATGCTTTTCAAAATAAGCCTGCAAACGTTTTTCCCCCTTTGAAAAAACTCTCTCGTATCTTTTAACCTGGAAACATATAGGCATTATTTCAAACTAGCCTGGACAAGGGGTGACTGAAGCAGCATCCAATTTTCAGTACTTATTTTCCAAAAAAGAATGGGGACCTCTGGTTTCTGTTTGGGATGTAAAAAGCTGAAGGAGCAATGTCCCACCAGTATAACAACAATAATCTAGACAAACTGCAGATTCACAACTCTTTTTTACTTAAATAAATTTATTTGTTTTGGCTGCGTTGGCTTTTCGTTGCTGCGTGCGGGCTTTTCTCTAGTTGCAGTGAGCGGGGTCTACTCTTTGTTGCGGTGCACGGGCTCTAGGCGGGAGGGCTTCAGTAGTTGTGGCATGTGGGTATCAGTAGTTGTAACGCATGGGCTCTAGAGTGCAGGCTCGGTAGTTGTGGCGCACGGGCTTAGTTGCTCCGCAGCATGTGGGATCTTCCTGGACCAGGCCTCGAATCCGTGTCCCCTGAATTGGCAGGTGGATTCTTAACCACTGCGCCACCAGGGAAGTTCTGACAACTTTCCTTTAACCCGTCCGAGAGCTGAAGTCACAGGCAACTGGCTAGCCCCAAATCGAAGGAAAAACAGGTGCCTTTGAGGAGGGATGGACATGAACTTAATGGGGCAGACTCAGTTGGACCCCCTTAAGAAGAATTCAGCTAAAATTGGTAAAGGAAGGGTGTAGCCTAGTGAAAGAATACAGGACCCTGGGGGCCACAGACATAAGGGAAATTCACAAGCACTTACAGGCCCCTCTCCATGGGACCTGACCTGTGCTCACAAAAAGACTGGCCAGGGCTTCCCTGGTGGCGCAGTGGTTGAGAGTCCGCCTGCCAATGCAGGGGACACGGGTTCGTGCCCCGGTCCGGGAAGATCCCACATGCCGCGGAGCGGCTGGGCCCGTGAGCCATGGCCGGTGAGCCTGCGCGTCCGGAGCCTGTGCTCCGCAACAGTGAGAGCCCCGCGTACCGCAAAAAAAAAAAAAAGACTGGACAGAATTCTGAGAAAGTGTCCTTCACGTACCTTTCCCATCTGTACTGTGGAAGAGACTGCAGGGGACAGGGCAACACACACCGTTGGTCTTAGGGCACTGGGCCTTTCCCCAGTAAAGCTTGGAGTGGGAGCAGGAAATAGGGAATAAACATCTTTTTCCCTGGGGGAGGGGCAGGAATATGTGCTGAGACCAGAAGTACAGCTGGGGGAGGTCACTCCCTCCCCCCAGATCCAGGGACACAGCACCTGCCTAAGATAGAAGCTTAAATCAGAATAATAGAAACCTTACCCTTCTGTGCTCCCCTCCCACACCCAGGCTAACAAGCTGCGAGTAATAGCGATCTGCTAGAAAGGGGGCAAGAATACGGAGAGAGAGACCCTTGCCGAAGTGAGGCGCAGCACAAAGCATGCAGCAGACGGTGAGAAATACCATCCCTACCGTAAACACAAGATATAACTAGAGGCCTTTGAAGGTAACCAGCGTAGCATCAGGTCCCGACTAGACTGATCCCAACCCCATGCAGCAAAAGGAAAGGAATCAAAATGATATACCTTCGTCTTTATTGCCCTACTCAAGATGGCTGGCTCTCAACAAAACATTTTTGGCATAAGAAAAGACAGGAGAAAACCAGCACATTGACAAGAGATGGGACAAATGACAGAACGAGGCAGATATGACACAGGTGTTGAAACTATTAGACCTGATTTAAAATAAATGATTAATAAGTTGAAGACTCTAATAGAAAAGGCAGACACCATGCAGAATTTGATGGTTAATTTCTGCAGAGAGAAAAAAATCTATAAGAAAGAGTCAAATTTAAATGCTAGAAATAAAAAAAAAAAACAATAATCGAGATAAAGAATGACTTTGAGGGGCTGATCGGTAGACTTTACACAGCTGAGGAAAGAATCTGTGAACAGTAAGATAGGTCAATAGAAATTACCCAGATTGAAACACTGGCTGTGCGTACCCATCGGAGCTGCCCATGGTCATTCAGAGCGGCCATCAGGCCCCAGGTTGTGCCTGGAGACGAGAAATGACACGAGATTACAATACTGATGCATGAATAATGGTCACATCCTAGGAGAGAACCACGCAAAGAAGGGTCTCTTATAGCACGTGTTCATTCACGAACTCCCCACCAGTAGTTCTCGTTCATTTTTCTTTATGTTCTTTTCTATTATTATTTTTTTTGGCCACGCCGCATGACTTCCAGGATCTTAGTTCCCTGACCAGGGATTGAACCCAGGCCCCAGCAGTGAAAGCGCCGAGTCCTAACCACTGGACCACCAGGGAATTCCCTCTTTTTTTGTGGTTTTTCACTCAATGGTTTTTAGTATATTCACAGCGTTGTGCAACCATCAACACTATACAATCCCAGCACATTTTCATTACCCTGGAAAGAAACTTCTTTTAAAATTGAAGTATAGGGCTTCCCTGGTGGCGCAGTTGTTGAGAGTCCGCCT